CCCCTGCCCGCGGCCTTGTCCCGGAGGCCAGGCACCGAGACGGGGCGGGGACGCGGAGCGCTGCCTCCCGAACGCCGCGGGTCTCGCGCCCACGCAGCCGACCTCGCGGCCGCTGCCGGCGGTGACTCCTCACCTTCGGAAACCGAGTGTCCCACCCAGGCTCGAGGCCCTCGGCCTGACTTCAGACGGGGCGTCGCCTCGCAGCCTGGCTAGGGCGCAGGTCGGGCCTGCCGCGGCGCCTGCGGGCAAAGGGCGAAGGGGTTGGCCGGGGTGTCAGTGCTTACTGGGTGGCCCTGCAGGTGCGGCGGCCCGGGCGTGGCTGGGGCACCGGCCCCTGAGCCCGGCTAACAGGCGGCCCCTAAAGCCAGTCTGGAAACTCCATGCTCTGCGGGCTGCCCGCCTCCCCCCGGGAAGCGACTTTTAAACCGTTATTTTTCTCTCCCGCCGTTTGCAAGATGGTCAGAGAGGTGGTGATGATGGAAGGCAGAGGAGGGCACGCAAACCAGGAGATCGGAGAGTCTTCTTTTTGGTTTATGCATCCATGATAGGAGGGTGCCTAAGAAGAAAGGAGACAGCCAATTAGCCAGAGTGGCTTATCTCAACAAGTCACTAGCACAACAAGTCATTAAGTAGTGCTCAAGTGTTTTCAGCATTTTGTTTTGATAAGTTTAAGTCCCTTTGTTTAACTAACTTCTTATCAAATATAGTTACCTTTTTGAAACTCAGAGCAATTCCAATCTCTTTTAACTCATTTTTAAAAAAATTTTAATTAAAAAGGAAAAATACGTCCTCTCTGAACAAAATAAAAAACACAAAAGGTGCTAAGTCCATTTACCTATGTACACATAACCTTCAGTTAACAATCCCTCTAAACATTTGTTATCTCAGTCCCCCCACAGTAAAAAAAAATGTGAATTTCATGAGGTATTCAAATGTCCTAACAAACAGTCCTGGTCCACCTTTCCAAGATCATCTCCAGGAGCTGTGTCCAGCCACATCTAATTATTTCTCAAACTACCAAGGGTAAAGGAAAATTATTTCCACTCCATTATTTAATTATTTCCACTCTGTCATGGACTGTTCATTTTATAAAATACAAAAGTGAAAAATGGTAGCAAAAATGACCAAAAATACAAACAAAAAAAGACAAGACCCTGTTTTTATTATTAAGAGTATATAAGTATGCTACAAATGTATAATTACTCTTCCATTTTTTGTATATTATTGTTTTAGTTTCTAGATACTTACTATTAATTTCTATACTTAACCAGACATGGATTGATGTCATGACTCTATTTTTAGGGTTTTTTTGGAGAGGTTTTTGCTATAGGGTGCGTGTGTTCGCCAGACAGACAGAGATATAGAGACAGAAAGCGAGAAATCACCCCCCCGGGGGGATGATCACGCTACAATCCCTTCTCCATTCTCCTCTCGGGATCTTGGGCACACACGCACACATGCCCAGCGTGAGTTTAAGCCACCGGGTCCAGGACTCGAACCATGGTCAACTACATGGGAGTTCAGCGACATAGCCATTATGCTAACTCCTGGTCCCTATATTTTTAGTTATTGATAGACCTGACACTGATTATGATAACCGACTTGCTGTTCTTTAAATACATCAGATGCTTTTCAACTTCTGTATCTTTTCTATTGTTCCTTTAGTACTAATCAAAGTATTCAAGTTTCAACTCATAATACAATGATAATAATAGCTTAACATTTATTGGGTGTTTTATGCTGAGACTTTAGATGCACTATGAATTCTTATCAGCCCTGTGAGTTAGATATTATTGTTATTTTTCCCACTTTACAGATGAAGAGATTGAGAATTAGAGAGGTCAACCAGTGAGATGCAAAGTCAGCATTCTAAACTTAACTGATTTTTTTTTTGAGAGATTTTTTGCTATAGGGCGTGTGCACTCACCAGAGAGACAGAGAGAGACAGAGAGACAGTGAGAAATCATCCCCCAGGGGGGATGGCCACACCGCAATCCCTTCTCCTCCATTCTCCTCTCGGGATCTTGGGCAAGCACGTACACGTGTCCGGCTTGAGTTTAAGCCACCGGGTCCGGGACTCGAACCGCGGTCAACTATGTGGGATACCAGCGACATAGCCATTGTGCTAACTGCTGGTCCCTAAACTGAAGTGCTTTTGAAGCCCATGCAATTAACTTAGCATGCTGGGCCCTTCTCCATGAAGTTTCCCTACTTGAGAGATGAAATGAATCACACCTTACTTTAATTGTATTATAATTCTTTTCCCTATTGGTTGCCATTCATGTCTGTTTCAGAAGTTTTAAGCTTCTGAATACAATGACTTTCTTATATCTCCCCACACTACTCTCTCCAACTGGAATGTCTTTTATACCCTCTACTCTGCTCATACTGACCAATTCTCATCTATCGTTACCACTGTCTTTTGTATTTACTTCATGTTATGTTATAATTATTTAGGCCTGCATCTTCCACTAGACCATGGACCACTTACTACATTGAGTAATCCTACCAAATATTTATTTATTTATTTAATTGAACAAACACTTCTCTAGCATTTATGACGTGCCAGCTACTGTTCTAAGAGTTTTATAACCTTGAAATAGCCCTATGGAATAAGTATTATTTTATCCCTATTTAAGCCAGGAAAAAACTGAGGCACAAAGAGGTCACTAATAAGTTACAGAGCCAGATCACTTATCCCCAAAATCTATTTCTGAACCATCAGGCTGTGCTTGTTTTTCACTATACAATGTGCTCCTCCTGTTTAAAACATTTCAACAATTTTCTACTGCTCTTAGAATAAGTGTGAAACTTCTAGGTAGGGCCTACATAATTCTCTGTGGCTTGGCTCCTGGTTAATTCTCCAGCTGTGTCCCACCCCAAGCTCCCTTGCTCCCTTTCAGCCACATCTGTCTTCTTTTCTTGCTCTTGGAAGTCAGACTCCCCCTGACCATAGCACATGGTGTTCCCCTGGGCTGAAATGCTGTTCCCTCATCTTGTTCCTTCCTCAATTCAAAACCGTTCTTCAGATTTTAGTTCAGGAAAATCTTTCTAGACTAAGGTCAAGTACTATATAATACATTTTTAATTCTTAATGATAATAATGTATTTTTTTTCTCCCATAAATAAGAGAAAGACAGAGAAACTTCAACCCTAATAGGGTCTCCACCCCACCCCCACTGCAACTCAGCCAGCCCTAGATCATGGACATGCACATACCCAGTGTACTCAGGAAGGTCTCCAGGTGCAAATTCAAAACCTCCCCATGTAGGGAGCTCAAGCAGCTTACCCAGAAGAAAAGGATTAACCCAATTAGAAAATGGGAAAATGAGCTGAACAAAAATCTCTCTAAGGAAGACATACAAACAGTCAAAAAGCATATGAAGAAAAATGCTCAACATCCCTCATCATAAGGGAGATGCAGATCAAAATCACAATGAGATACCACCTAACCCCCGTCAGAATGACACAGATTAAAAAAAAAAAAATAAGTGCTGGAGGGGATTTGGATTTTATTTTTTGCTAAGTAACTGTTTTCTAAAAGCTACTTCCTTATGGGGGAGTCAATCCATTGCTCAGACTACTAGGTAAACCCCCCTTGCCTTGGGGCCAGGTGGCAGGATGGGTCAGTCCCTGGACTTCCACATGATGGTTGAGGGAAGTTTGAGTCCCAGACCTGGTGGCTTGCCTTCTGTCTCTCTCTCTCTTCTCTCTCTCTCTCTCTCTGTTTCTCTGTCTCTGGTGAGCATGTGTGCCCAATAGTATAGCTAAATTTTAAAATATTATTAATAATAATTGTTAAAATTAAATAACTAATTATATATTAAAAAAAAAAACAACCCTTAGCTAACTCCTCTTTGGCAACCCTTTTCTGGGACCCTTCCCTGCTTTGGAGCTCTTTTCTCCCTTCACTCTATTTTTACATAGATTTTTGCTGTAGGACACATGTGCTCCCAAGAGAGACAGAGAGAAAGTGAGAAATCATCCTCCTTGGGGGGAATGGCTAGGCCGCAATCCTTTCTCCTCAATATAACCTCTATGCCATGTGCTGGCCCCATGTCTCTAATTCTTCAGACAAGAACCTAGACATCTCATGGTCCTGAATCCAGCACTGGTGTTGGGTGTGTTCACCCCAATATCCCGTGTCAGAGCCACTAATCATTTATCATCCAAACTGAGATACTTAGTGACAGGAGGACTACAGGCATAAAGTGGAATGTGTGGCCATTCTAGTGCTTAAAGACTTTCCAAGGGGCGGGCTAGCATGGAAGTGTTTCTAAATATCAATTTCAAGACTTACGATCTCAGGCTTACAATAGCATCATGGTATAAAGCAAAGCTCTGCGAGGAAGCCCCACGTGGGATGGCTGCTGGCTCACGTCTGGAGATCTCCATGCTCTGGGCAGGCTAAAGTTGGGGGTGGACTGGGCCATCGAGAGCCTGTCAGTAATGTATCTCTACTCTCTCTCTCTCTCTCTCAACAAATTAAAAACATTTAAAAAAATTTAAGACCTCCAGTGCCATATTGCCTCCATCCAAGATTAGTTTGCTTAAAGGATACCCTTCATAATTGCATTTCTTTCACTTTACAAAAGAAAGAATTCCTCTCACACATACATCCCCATCTCCCTGAGGTGCATTGCCTGAAGGAAGAAAGATGTACAGGAAGTTAAGCCACGGGACAGTTTGGTATTTCCTTTCATCAGAGTTCCATAAATACCCCAACCCTCATCTACTTCCTGAAGATTCATTTTCAGTATCTTACTTCTTATGTTCAAGATTATTTATTTAATAAATATTTATTAATTATATACTGAATTATTTAAGTATGCACAGTAATATTTATTACATTCTTAATTATTTATTAAGTATGCAATATATTTATATTGTTTAATAAATTCAGTAATACCAGTAATGTAATATAGTAATTATAATGATAATTCACTTCAGAGAAAAAAATTAATATTCAGGGCATATGGTCATAGGAAAAATTTTAAATTAAATTTTAATGTGTATTTTTTATTGTGGAAAAGTATAAAAGGGTAATCAACAAAATATTTTGAAGCAGAAAAATGGGAAATAAAACATGGGGTGGGGGCATTGGTATGGAAAAATAACATCATGGAAGAAAAGGAACAGTATAAGGTTTCTGACTATTAAAGAAGAATAGTCCAGATATGTTTAAGTAGACCATGTGTATAAATCACTGTGAAATTTAAATTCTATTAGATACATTTATAAGAGTAGTGTAACAGT